GTCCACATCGTCCCAGTCCGCGTCCAATGTCCTCCTTGTCGTCGACGGTGGGGGTCGTACGCGTACGGGATGAGCCCGCGCGGGTGGGTGAGCGAGCCGGAGGGGTACTTGGAGTCGGAGGAGATGGAGAAGACGGAGTCGCCGGAGCTGGAGATGACCGAGTCGCGGTTGCTGCCGCCGGCGAGGGCGCGTGGCGGGGGGAGCAGCTCGCCGTTGTCGTCGTCGCTCGCGAGGCGGTAGAGCAGCATGGACCCGCGCTGGCCGGTGAGGACCTGCGAGTCCTCGCTCGCGATGCGGGTGAAGAGCATGCTGCCCGCGCGCGAGACGGGGCGGGAGCGCGGCTGGGGCGGGGGCGGAGGGGAGGCGGGGTGGTTCGGGTTGAGCGGGGACGAGACGAACGCGCCGGAGGAGAGCGAGCGCTGCGGGGGGCGGTCGGCGGCGGGGAGGAGCGGCTGCTCGACGGACGGCGAGGGCGGCGGCGGCGGGTACGCGGCGCTGGCGCTGGTGGTGGTGGTGGTGGTGGCGCTCTGGCTGCCGCTGGGCGTGGACTCGTCGGACGAGCCGGACAGGGGCGACGTCGAGTCGGAGCGGCGGCGGCGATCTTCGTCGCTGCCGGCGCCGTCCTGGGCGGGCCAAGAGGCGGACATGCTGGGCGTCCGTACGGTGAGAGGCGGGAGGAAAAGAGAGAGAGGCCGGCGGGCAGGGCCGTGTGGGAGGTGTCAAGTGTCGCTGGCCATCGGCGTGCAGACGGTCAGTACAAATCGGGCGGAATTTCCGGGAAAATGGCAGATCCGTGGCGAAGCGTAGCAACCTCGCGAAGCAATGTGACTTCGCTTTATGTAGAAGGGGGTTTACAAGAAATACTCTTCACAACTGAATCTTCGTGCATGTGTATATTTCACCTGAAACTAGATGTCCCCAATATGGCCCCGTCTCGACTGTCCCTTTTTTTCTTACCTTGGGTTCAGCTGTGGCTGTAGGTTTAGCCTGAAGGTGGAACTGTAGACTGTTGTAGAGGATCAAGAAATCTCCAGGTGATGTGGCACACAGAATTGGAGGGGAGGGGTCTATACGGCAAGCGGTGCACTAAGTATAAGACTCTCTAAACCACTGCAGCATGAATACTAAGTATCGCTTGCTGCTTCAGTAGAATCACGGCTTAAATGAGGAGGAATGAAGAGAATGTGCATGTTATAGCTGAGAAAGTCTCTGCGGGTAGAGTCTTCACCACAAACTTGACCAGCACTCGGCTTCTGCTGCTACGCGACTACACCACCTCGCTTCATCACCACTCCGCCACGCTTCGCCACCACTCCGGTTCCCTGTCAATCTAGGCGCCCAGTCCAATCTCCTCATGGAAGTCGTCCGTTCATTAGTCCAGGTAACACAGACAGGTATCGACTCGTCTACTCGACATCTCCGTGCGATGCTGCCCCGCCCGAGTAAAAGCCCTTCCATCCCCGACTCGCGCTGGCATTGGCAATGCGTAATAGTTGCGAGGTTACACGACACGAGCACGAACACGATGGGAACGCCCTGGCGTCCGTGAGTGTCGCAAGAGCACTTATAGCACGCCCGCAGTCGACGTACTCACCTGTGCTTCGCGAAGGTACGTCCTCGATGTTGGTATCACGCTCATAGATAGCATTGATCCGAGGAGCTTGCACGTTGCGACATATATAGGCTGTGCATCAATAATTCGGATCTACGCTGTGCACCCCCCGCCCTGACGCCGACAGAAACCTCCGTCGTTTATTCTGTTCATCTCCCAGCTAATGACAAAACGATAGAGACTGTACTTTTGCGATGCAGTCTCGGTGACAGAAAAGGACCCCGCCGACACATAGAAAAGATAGGCCTCGCAGTCCACAGTCAGCGTCCATGGCGTCTTTCCACCGGATTTGGTGCCTTGTCTGTCAACCGGACTCCAGCGCGATTCTGCTAAGAGTCTTTGTGTTGTCAGCGCCCAGCCGCTGATACAACATCGTACTCCCCATCGAAACCTTGTCTATTCGTCGGTGAGGCCAGGTGTACACCGCCCCGTCTACTACTACCGACACGCTTACATTCGATCTCATCCCTAGCCGCATCCGAATCCTACGCTCTCCATCGCGCGCTTCTCTTCAGCATGAAGGAAGCGTGAAATGTAGTCGGGCCAGCGCTGCAAGGTCACGCTGGCGTAGCGCCTCTGCGCACTACTTACATTTTGACAGAAGTTACACTGGCCCCGGCGCGTGCGTTTAAGCGCCCGTCCTCCGGCTTTGACTGGTACCTTTCGAAACATGCATGATCCTGCTCCATCGCTTTCTCGCCCTGCCAAGCGAGCGCGCATTGACTGCTAGTACGTCTGTAGGCGGCGCAATTTGGTATACGACACCAGAACTGCCTTCTACCTACAGCTATTTGCAGATATAACGACACTTGCCGCCCTGGGGAATTTTCATATACGAGGCGAGGAGTGCCGCGCCTTCAGCTCCTTGGATAGTCCAGGTGACATTTGTGGCTGCGACACATCCTCTCGCTGACTTAGCGAGCGCCCATCCCCAAGGCGAGCTCGCATACACAACTTCCCGGGCCGGGAAGTGTCAGCATGTCAGCAAATAGCTATAATACCTGAACTGCACATTCGTTCGCCCCCCCCCCTCGCTGTCTCCCACTCGGCTAGGACATCCTGGCAGACGCGCACCTTCCTCGCGCTCAAGGCGCGATAACCCTCACCGACGGCCTCCCAGCTGACCCTACCACTCCCGCCCCCTCCCGCTCTCTCCCGCCTCCTCCATCCCTGCTCCGGACTCGACCCCCGAGGAAGATGAGAATCGATTAGCGAACGCGCGTTCATATGCGGTGAGCACAGCAGACGTGGTGTCACGGCCGTACGCGCCCTGGACGCTGTAGGTGGTCTCGCCGTTTCCTCCGCCGAACCTCCCTCACCCACCCATCCAAATTCCCCCAGCACGCACGCAGGTCCGAGTCTCTCCGCAATCGTCGCCCCCCTCCAGTCGGACATCCCGCTCAGCACTCCCCGATCTCCATCAGAACCCGCCACACGTCCCCTCACCACGCACTCCTCCCGCCCCGCCCCCCGCCGTGCCTCTGGGAACCGCACTTTCCCCCGCCTCGGCCGCGAGCCTGAGACGCAATGGGCCCGCGGTCCACACCGCCACTCAGTCCTCATTCGTCACTCCGGCGTCCCCGCGGCGGTCGGCCCCCACTCCCCTCTCACCGCAGCCGCCCCGCCCCCGCTCCGTCCTTTACGCGCGCGCAGCGATTCGTCCCGTCTCGTGTGCCTCCACGCGGGTGCCGTCCAGCGCCTCGTCCTCCCGTACGTTCCTCCATCTTTCACTAGCACTTCCCCACCTCGGGCTCGGGCGCGCGGAGGAGGGAGGTGCGCTCGTCCGGCATTAATCAAATACGTATTATTCAGAGACCGGGACTATGTAGTAACACGACAATCTAATAGCATGGATGGCTATCGGATAGTAGATACGAAGAAAGACGAGGATAGATATACATATTATACGACGCCAGGAGCGGTCGCAGAAATCCACACAAGAAGGGCGTGGAAGAAAGAGATTGACCATCAGGTACCGGTATGGTATATTATGGTAGCGTAAGCAGAATAACGGGGACCGCAACTCCCAGAAGAGAAACGCGAGATTACCTCACCGCAGCGACGCGCCAGTCAATATACAGATGCACGGAGCGCAGGAAACCAACCAAGTTCGCACACAAGAACGTATCCCAGACGAATCGAAGAAAAAACACAACCCACCGACCACAGCGCCCCCTCACATCCTCTCGACGACGACACCGGCCCGCACCTCCCTCTCCCACGCGCTCCCCACGGCAGGCTCCCTACACGCCCCGCGCGTCTTCTCCTTCCCATCCTCCCCGGACTGCGTCGCAGGCGGGAACGCGGCGCTGGCCTTTGGGACGCGGAGCAAGCGGAGGCGCGCCAGCGCCGGGAAGGCGGCGAGGTCCGCGGGCGCGGGCGGGGCGTAGAGGAGCGTCAGCGCGCGCACGCTGGGGAAGCGCGCGCGGGGCGCCAGCGGGGCGTGCAGCGCGAGGGACCGCAGGCGCGGGTAGCGCGCGAGGAGCGCCTGTATGCGCGCGGGGTCGCCCGCGGCGTCGACGTGCGCGGGCGCGGGGACGAGCGCGGCGACGGCCGCCGGCGCGAGCGCGGGCGCGTTTTCGGGCGCGCGCGCGAAGAGCACGGTGAGCCGGCCGTGCGCGAGCAGCGCGGTCTCGTCGTCGTCGTCGTCGTCGGCGGCGGGGCGGAGCCGGGTGTACGCGGCGAGGTCGCAGCAGGCGGCGAGGTGCACGTGGCGGAGGCGGACGCGGCGCATCGTGGCGCGCCACTGGCGGTCGACGCTCGCGAGCGCGGCGTGCGTCGTCCAGCGGACGGACTTTGCGGGGCGGGCGAGGAGAGAGGAGCACGGGGGCGGGGCGGGCGAGGGCGGGAGCGCGCACCAGACGAGTGTGAGGACGTGCTCGAGGAGCTCGTTCGGGAGGCGCAGCGGCGGGCGGGCGGGGATGTGCATGGACGCGAGGATCGCAGCGATGTCGGGGGGCGACATGCTGACAGCGCAGAGGCGGCGGTGACCTGCACCGGACTGCTTATGAGCGGCATGCACGCTAAATTTGTGACGTCAGCGTACGCCCAGATCTGCGGTTATGCTCCCGCGATCTGGCGTCGTTCATGCGATGGGCGTGACAGTCACCGCGATGGGACGCCTGCTTATCCGATGCGTCCACGAGTCCTCGGAGGAAGCGCAGTGCCCGGCATAAAGCTGGGCCACACTGGATCGTCGATGCGTACGCACGGATGCGTCCAAGGGAACGCTGCAAGTGGCGTCCACGCGGGTTCTTCCATGAAAACAGGAAGCTACGTCTCACTTTAACTTGGGCTCGGAACACACGCGCTTGTCTCTGCATTAGGAACATACTGCGCAGACTCGGAACGGGGACCTGCCGCGTTGACCAACCCCAGGCACTTCTGCTAAGGATTTATGGGGGTTGAATTGGCGCGCAAATATGGAGCATAATGTAGCAAGTCGTGTTTACGTCGAGAGCACGCCGCTGTCCGTGGCCCCGTTGGCGGAGAGATCCAGGCTTGCACCAACTCTGCGAAACCACCCATCCAGGAATGTTAGTCGTTTCACAAGGATGACGATATGAGGCGAGTATCGACAAGCGTCATGTCTGGACCCGCACTCCCGCCACTCCTCGCCATCGCACTTCCTTCGTGCCGCACCCACCCGCACATGCGCCCATCCCCGCGAACGCCACCCCGAATGCCCGCTGCGCAGATATACTCTTATCGCACGGCCGCCGCTACGCACGGGATCGCTCGCAAGTACTCGAGACTGCACGCCCGGCTTCCAGCGAGGCCAGCGCCACCCCGCGCTGTCTCTACAAACCACCAGTACATCCCTGGCCGCCCGCCTAACCCCAAGGCGCCCCGCCATCCGTCCGCCACCCTTCACCCATCTCTCCCAGCGCACCCGCCGAATACACCCAACCACCCTCCTCTCCGTTCCCCCCCGCGCGCACACACTACCCGCCCGTACGCGCACTCACCGCACACGCCTGCTTACCGCTTCCTCGCGCTCGTTTATCCCTCCCGTTCACTCGCTCGCAAGCAGCGCAAAATCGCCGCATGCCCTCCCCGCCCAGCCACAGCGCGCGAGTCCATATCCCCGCATCCCGGGCGCGCACTCCCGCATGACCACGATTTCCAGTTCGAAACACGGACACACGCACGCACCATATCCACGGCTCGCGCTGCAGACCCCATGGCGGACGCGCACGCAGCCCGGACCACCCGCGGATGTCGATGTCCTCGCCCAAGCCCGACTTCCGGACGAGCGCCGACGCTGCCCTCGCCTCCGTGTCAAACGTGGCTCGCTCCCGTCGTTCTCGTTCACCGACACAGCTCCCAACTCCGTAAGGACATGTCCAGCCGGCGACACGAGGGACTCCGCCCTGATAGTCGTCCCGACCCGGGGCGGGGCGCGGTGGACGAGACGGCGAGCCCGGCGCGGCGCGGCGCGCCTGTATGTGCCGGCGGTAGATCCCGGATTTGCGGACAAGGACGGTGACACGGGCTATGGATGGATGGAGGCATAGCATACTCGCTGCGCGAGACAGGGACGGAGAGCCAGGATGGTTTCCCGAAGCTCGGTCCGGTCGGAAGATCCACCGCATCCGGGCACCTGCCACGAGGGGAGGGGCGCAGTTTGCATCCCCGAGGCCGCTTGCGCGCGCTCGGGCGGCAGGTGTACTGTACACGGGACACACACCCGTTTCGCGATCCGAGGCAGCGTGCATCCCCAGCGCCGCTCTGCCAGTTCGACTCGTAACTGGCGCGCAACTGCTCACTCACTAGATTCTGGTTTGTGTTGGCGCTCTATGCTGTATGCGACGGACCGGGCTTCCTTCCTGTGCGTATTCTCGGTTCCAAAATTTATGCAGTCGCCGGGCGTATTACTAGTATTAATGACACGGTCCGGGAGAACACTGCCATCTTTCTGAGCTGGTCGCATAAGCACTTGAATCCCCGACGCCAAGTACTGCATGTACTCGGGGCCGCTGTCGTCGTGTCTCGTAACTTCTCCAGACGGAGACGGCATTGTCGGAGACTGGACAAATTTAGCAGACGCTCGGAGCGAGACATGTTGGCGGCGCTGGGCACAACTCTGCGCGTATGGTGTATTGTGGTGGCTTCGACTTGGAGTTAGCCGAAGATTCAGGTTTCACAAACCATTCATCCAACACGATGTCGCGCATACCGCATTGTGGTTCCGAACGTCCGGGCTCGGACTCGAACAACGGGACTGACGATTCAACGACCTCGCCGTCATGTTGTTGGACACATCAACAAGGTCTCCACTGATCGGTCATTGACCATCAAAGCGGGTCCGCTAGGCTCCCGATATCCAGTCTATGCTTCAACGAAATCGCCCTCCTCTATCTCCGTCCGGCGCGCCGCCAACTCGTCCCGGTCCCACGTACAGCTCACAAACCTCCCGCCCAGGTAATCCTCCGAGCCACTCGTCAGCCGCACGAGCGAGCGGCGGGCGATCTCCACCTTCTCGTCCAGCGTTCGCGGCCAGGACGGGTGCTGTGTTTCCACCATCAGCGCGCGCCATCGCAGGAGACGAGAAGAGACACGTACGCTATTAATATGCGCCCGGGGTGGGCCGAGAACACCTTCACGCCGTGCTCTCTCGTCGGCCACCAGATCAGCGCGGGGATCAGCATATGCCGTTGGCCGGGACGCACCGGCGTGTGTGGACGCGGCGAAGCGATTGATTGCGTGTTTCGACATGTGGTACCTGCGCCCCGAACGACGCCACCAGCACTGCGTACCAAGCTGTGCACGGTGCAGTGGTGAGGACGGTGAACACACCCCCTGCGGCGCATGGATGGCCACACTCGTCGTCGCCTGTCTTGCAGAACGCGCTCGCGGATGTTGACATGCAGCCTGGGTTCGCGCTCGGGATGGGTCGCTCGCGACACTGCCAGCCCCCGACGGAGGACCACCACTCCTCCGGATCCGCGTCCCCGATCGTCCTGAATCTCTCCATGTACCCAGCGTTCGCGAGCACAACGTCGATCCTCCCGAACACCCCGACGCACGTCTTCGCGCTCTCGCCCACCGCCCTCTCATCGGTCACATCCACCGCGCACGACTCGACTGCCGCAGATGGGGACGCCTCGGCGACAGACACAAGGGCGTCCGCCGCTCGCGCGGTGATGAACAGCCCGCGCGCTCCTGCCCGTGCGTACGCGTACGCCGTCGACTCCCCGACACCACAGCATGCCTGCCCGTAGGATGGAAAGCAGACACGCACCCCTGTGATATACCCCACGTTCCCCTGGGCGGCATCGTCCAGCCGGGAGTCCGACTCGATTCCGGGGTCCCGCGCGGGCTCTGCCTGCCTGGCCGCTGTGTAATCAAGCTTGTGCTCATCATCATTGCGCGATGTGGCCTTTTGAAAAGCAATACAGTGAACGCCACTGGCGACTCACCACAAAGCTCAATCCTGAACATCCATGTTGATAACCTACTGTGTATTGACGAGCGGCTGCAATCTTCGAACATTCTAACAAAGCCTATGAAGTATAACCCCAGCTCAATCCTGAACATCCACGTTGATAACCTACTGTGTATTGACGAGCAGCTGCACTCCTCGAACATTTTAACAAAGCCTATGAAGCACAACCCCATGCTCCTTACACGCCACCTCCTCCACGTCCCGCCCAACGACCGGCCCTTGATCACACCGGACAGCGATCCGCCTCCTCGGCCCCTCCCAAAAGCGCGCACGCAGCGCCTTTGTGATACCCCACTTGCGGATCTCCTGGAAGACGCTGTAAGACCCGTTGTCGCACATGCACCCCGCGTGCGCTCGGAGCACGATCGTCTCCACGCCCACGGGCAGGCGGCCTCCAGCGGGAACACGAGATTCAGCCCGAGGCGGGTGATGTTGGGTAGCGCGCGAGCGCAGCGGGGTCCGGGATGCTCACAAAGTCGACGGAGCGGATGTGCGGGAAGACGGACGGGGGGACCGCGGATGCAGTGACGTCTCTGCGTGCTTCGTGGGGTATGTAGAGGCGACCATCAAGCTCGCATCAGAGCCGCAGAGCGACGTGAGGCCATTGGCGTGGTAGTGTGACACGAAATCAGTGACGTCCACACTGAATGAGCGGATGTCGAGATGTTGGCAACTGGAGATGAGGGCCATGATGGCGGAAAGTGAGAGAGCGTGCATGCGTGGTTTGGTGCAGGAGGGTCTGGATATGGTGACGGTAGATTTCCAGGTCGCAGCAGTCCAGAATATATACGTGTTGGAAGTGCACCGCGTGCGTAATGTCTCGCCACTGTCGATTCACGCAGGTTAGTGTGCGGTACAGGTGCCAGGCGGGTGATTCGGTCGGGGTATCCTCGGCGCGAGGAAATGTTGGTAACGGCGGGGGAGCAGAGCACCATGCTTGGGTAATGATCAGGTCGGCAATTTCAGCAGGGATGAGCGGACGGGGAGATGTGGAAGTTCGATAAGTTGATGCGGTGGGGCAATGTGGACATGGTGTTTGACGCAATCGATGCGTACCCCTCTGTGAAGTCACTAGCCACTAGTCACTGGCCATCAGAAGTACACTTGACTCGAGCTGGCAGCCTGAGCGTCACTGAAATGAAGAGGGAACGTTTGGGGCACGGGACTGATACACGTGGGAATCGGATGACCTTGCGAGTTGTTCCGGGGTACTCAGCCATAAAGCTCTCGTCATGACCATACTCGGTCAATAAGAGTCAAAGGCTACATACTCGAGGTGGACACGACGGGTCTTCTGAAGTCATCCCTACCGAACCTTGTATTGCAGATGCAGGTTCCCGTTCTCGATGAAGCCATAGAGCTCTCCTTCTGGCAAGATCTGTGAACAGCAGGCCCGCATGAACGTCCTAACGCGAGTATCTGTACATCTGCATCCCCGGGTGTACCGCTCGGACTGCGTGATGAAGCCTAGCGTGCGGTCTTCTTGACTGCCAAAGAGAGCCTTCAACAGGAATGGCGCTTCTATTGATGGGACGTGCATCGACCGAACGATTCTGGTACTGTCTCGAAGTCAACGAGGCTTGTGTCACATAACACCTGCTCCATGCTTTGTTTCCCGCCCTCCCACCTGGAAAATCTGTCTTGAGGAAGCACTCGCACTCTTTTCGGATTCCTAGCTCTCCCACTACGTATATCTAACATATGAGGACAGTGGCACGACACCATAAAGCAGGGGTGTTACAACGCCTCCGCCAGGCTCCCGATGTCAAGCCTGTTCTTCAAAAGGTCGTCCTCCTCAATCTCCTTCCGCCTCATTGCCAACTCATCAAGATCCCACGTACAGCTCACAAACCGCCCACTGAGATAGTCCTCCGTTCCACTGGTCAGCCGTACTATCGAGTGGCTGGCAATTTCCACTTTGTCATGGAGGAGGGGCGCAAGCGAGGGTTCGCTCGATGCTAGCACGGTCCTACAACACCGCATCGCAGATGCATGTATGTGAACTTCGTTCAGACTAGCTCCAAGAAGGTTGACACGGGGACGTACACAATGCCACCCGGGTGCGCCGAGAATACTTTGACCCCTGCAGCGCCGTACTCTGTCGGAACAAGACAGCTGTAATGGGGCATATACGCTCTATCAGCGATCGGACTCACCGACTTGGATGAACTCGGCCAAGCGATTCATCGCATGCTTCGACGTCTGATAGCCGCTCCGCCCGGGGATTCGGGCTTGCGCTCCCAGAGACGACACGAGAACGACGTAGCCCTTGGTGGCCACTAGATGATTGATAGTGTGGTGAACGACGTTGAACGTCCCCCCTGTATGTCCATTCGGTCATCAATACCCTTCCCTCAGGACAGCCGGGACCACCGCCTACGTATGTTGACAGTCTAGACGTACCTCCGCTCAAACACTAAGCGAATAGCGAGGACGCAGCGTAGCGGCTCACCATAGTCTTCCACCACTCATCAGGGTCCTGCTCCCCCACCCGCAGCCGCTTCTCCAGGTACCCCGCATTCGCGACGACGATATCGATCCTCCCAAACCTATCAAGGCACGTTTTCACGCTCTCGCCAACCGCCTTCTCGTCGGTGATGTCTAGCGCATACGGTTCGACGATGACGGACCCAGATACGGAGTGCTTCCGTGTCGCCTCTGCGACGGACACCAGGGCGTCCGCCGAACGCGCGGTGAGGAACAGCCCCCTCGCACCCGCCTGTGCGTATGCGTAGGCTGTGGCTTCCCCCACTCCGCGGCTGGCCTGGCCGACGCAAGACACGATGGTTTCAGCGTATTCCAGTAAAGCAGCAACACGGTACGCACACCGGTGATATAGACCACCTTGCCCTTCGCAGCGTCCTTCAATCGGGTACTCAAATCGATCCCCGGGTACACGTCCTTGTGTATCGTCACGGCGGGGACTTCTGGGTGCGGAGCCATATCGGACTAGTATGAATACGTAATCGATTCAGAAGGTATTCGCGCAAGTTATATGCATCCGCTACCGTGTTCGTTAAGGTCGGACTGCGACGCAACACTCAATGACAAGTCCTGCGCAGGTGACTCGGACATTTATAAGCAGGCTATGAATACCACAGTTGTTGTTCAATCGAGGCTAGCAAGGTCAGAAATAGAATCCCCTCCGCAAACAGCCTGGATCATGAGTCAGGCAAGTCGCTCATTATCGGCAATTCCTCTCTGTGTGAGCTGACTCTGCCAAACCTTACCTGCGCTCGCGACCATTCCAAGGAGCCGAGTCTGCACTGAAAGCGGTCATTCATTAAATTTACCTGCTGCAAGAACATCCGTCCGAGGGCAGTGTCGAATACTTGGACCGTGTATCCTGCGGGTTAGTCCTCATTCAGAACGCTGCTTCCGGTTCTGTCGTTTATTAGATGGGCGACCCAGCATCATTCATCACCCCACCCCAGACGCTCTAGTACGATCCCATGCTCCTTACACACCTCCATCGCCGTGCCCCACCCCAGCACCTCCATGTCACTGCACTCGACCAGAATCCGCAGGGGCGGCCGAGCCTCCCACAAATCCTCTTGCAGCGCCCTCTCGATCGCCCAATCGTACACCGCCTCGCCCTCGTCATGCCCTTCCCACCGCGGATAGCGCTAGACGCCGAGCACCATCGTCTCGAGCGTGGGAGGGAAGTGTTGCCGCAGCCGCGGTAGCGAGAGCGAGGCGGAAGCGGAGCGTCGCGCGGTGCGGCTTGATGTCGATCGCGGCGGAGGAGACGTTGGGGAATGCCGGCTGCACTACCGAGGCCGGGTTGTCCAGGTCCGCGAGAGCCTCGTCGTAGTAGGCTGCGGGAGGGACGGTGCCGTCGATGGAGGGCCCCGAGGCAGACGCCGGTGTGCGCCCCGCGAAAGTGCGATAGGAACGGGACGATGTCGGACACAACGCTAGACAGCGATAAGTGGGGACGAGAGCCATGAGCGCCTCTGGAGATACCGCGTGGAACCATTCGCCGGTTTTCTCCCTGAGCGGCTTATGGCACAGCGAGAAGAGCGCGTGACGCGTTGGCGTGCAAGTGGCACTAACACTCGATGTTGATGAGCACGCGATCGATGATACCGCGGGATTAGCGGTTCACCCCAGATAAGTCGTCGTAGAGTAGCCACCGCTCGAGAGTCAGTTGCTAAGGGCAATGGATGTTCGCAGAATGTTGGGAATAATCATCACTTGGATCACCTAGTGCACGCCAGACAAGCGTGAAAACAGCACGAGGAGCTCGGTCGAGTATGGAGCGTCGAAAGGCGTTAGTTCCATTGCCAAAGTTCGTGGAGTGCGCACTCATCATAACGGGTCTAGGAAGTGACATCAGAACTGGCAGATGGAGGTTACAAACAGCGAAACGAAACCGGAAGGGGGGCCTCATATACTAGTAAAACGCAAGGAGGGGTCAGACAAAGGCACAAAGGATGAATACCACCACGGTGTGAGCACTAGGGTGCACATCCCGGCGAATAAGCACAGAGATAACCCTTTTCACGTTCAGGGTCCAACCGTAGGTTCCAGTCGATCTCAGCATTATACATACCCTCCCTAATAGCCCATGAATCAGTTACCTTCCATTCGGTCGCAAGACACCCCTCTAATAGTACAGCCGCCGGAACTCGATTTCGCGCTCCCTGCACGCCTCCGCCTCCGCATCCCACCCGTCGTCGAGCTTCTCCTCGGGCGTCCTGCCCTCCAGGGGCCAGCTGACGGCCTTCCCCTCACCACACTCGATCAGCATCCTCCTCCCGTCCTGGCCATGCCAGAAGCCGCAGCGCAGCGCACTGACGATCTCCCACTGAAACAGCAGCTCCATGGCGGGGACGCCCGTGATCCTGAAGTCGGGGAACGTCAGGGCGTGCAGCACAAGTGTCTCGAGCGTGGGTGGGAGGTGGTTGCGCAGATACGCGAGGTTGAACCCGCGGTGCAGACGCAGGCAGGTGATATTCGGGAAGTGGCAGAGCGCGACGGGGTCCGGCTCGCACATAAATTCGACAGAGCGGATGTTCGGGAAGAGAGGTTCGACGGCTGGGGGCAGGTAAGGGGTGTTAGTACATTGAGATAGCCGTTCTTCTTCCGGCGCAAGGTCAAAGGGCCACCCGTCTAGCGCTGTCCCAAGTCGGAGGGATGTCAGCCCGTTGCGGTCGTAATGGGCTAGCATTGCCGTGATGTCAATATCCTCTGTTTCGACATCCAGGGAATTGCATGCCGGGATCAGGTTTACGAGGCGGTCCGGGGTTACGGGGTAGTGGAGAGCGTCGTCTGTGCAGTACGGAAGGGGGAAGAATGCAACCTTGAGCGCACATTCCGCCGTGCGCTCCAACGCACGAGCGTTCTCCTTGATATGAGTGTAGTACTCTTCAAAGTCGCAGCATCCTTGAATGTAGACGTATCGGAAGTGCACGTCGTAGATGATGTCGCTCCACTGCCGGTTGACGAGACGGAGAGCGTAGTACAGCTTCCAGGCAGGAGCTTGAGGACCAAAGTCATCCAAGCACTTGCGCGAGGACTTCCGCTGAACAGAGCGCCAGGCGTCAGTGATGACTATCTCAAGCAGCTCGGCGGGGAAATCCAGGGCAGGTCGAGGAGTAGAATCCGCTATGCGAGATACATGAGTTAGGTCGGGGGATGACATGGTCATTGGTGGCTGTCGAACAAATAGCGCGTCAGCAAAGTAGGAGGACTGCATTGACAGACTCACAGTCGGCTCACAAATAATGGGACTTGCGTCGGGTAGTACTAGTAGCACAAGGACGATCTAGATACTGTATCAACACAGATGAGACGCCCACGAGCGAAGCCCTCGATATCGATCATGTGGGAAACACCTGAGGCTCGTGATTGGCTCATGGCAATTCTCTCGTCGGAAGTATTTATGGTGGGGGTCTATACGGCGTCTCTCATTATGGGCGCGTATGCGGAAAAGCACGATAGCGTGGATGGCGTTTCAACCGCTTAGCACTACCTTACAATTATATGCGAGCCGTGTATATTTATCGTCGCGGTGATTGCTAGGCCTCTTCTGGCACATCAGAGGTCGAAGAACAGCCAGGGGTAGCCACATCACGTAGCGCGTCGACAAGAATCCATAAGCACGCCCGTACTACTAGTAGTAATTTCCCGTGACGAGTGCATTGGCGGCTCTTGATACGGCCTGATCAGGGGACCATCACGCACAGCTGCAACTGATTGGCATTATCATGATCATGACCATGATCTGCGAGAATGCAAAACGCAGAAGAAAGAGGCGGGCGACAGGAGGAGGATTGTGCCGCCTTGGGCCCAATCTTGAATTTGTGTGAAAATACTGAAGGGGCAAATGGCGCGGTGCTCACCAGGTAAATAAGTCAACCGTCAGAATCCGTGCAAACACCCGAACTCGATCCCGTTCTCCTTATACGCCTTTGCATCCCAATACCACCCAACGACCTTCCCCAACCCACGCTCCCCGCACACAACCAAGATCCTCCTCCTCCGTCCTTTTCAGAAGCCCTCTTCCAACGCGCGAGGAATAGCCCACTTCATCAGCATCTCGATATTCGAAAATATCCACTCGCCTCCCACCAGATTCATATCAGGGAGGTAGTCCACGCGCAGCACAATCGTCTGGAGGTTGCGCGGCAGATGATTGCGCAGGCATGACAGCGGGAACGGGAGGTTTAGCCGCAGGCACCCTTAGGTTCGGGAAGCGGGCCAGTAGCCCGTTTATCGACGTGGGACTGGTCCGCTCCTGACGCTTGTTTCAACTAGTTGTATAATGGTGCACCCTACCGCAAGAACGTCACTATATCGCAGACAAGCAGACGTTTCATATTTTTGAGCGCGGTCGTAGGTGTTATACAAGTTGTCCTAATTCAGTCTCCAACCTTTTTTGTGCGCTTTCTCACCTTTTATCGGAAAGGAATAAGAGACGGGAATATGAACGTTGTCGAGCAGGAGCTCTCCTGCGGTGCGCGGACGAAGAATTATGCCGGGTACCTTGTGGGTGGTTTTATGCACCCTCAGACGACCTGAGGAATGCAAGCCTAAAGGTCTCATTTCAGTATTCCCGGCTATATGGTAGGATGTCATGCAGGAACTCACCCCAACGTCTTGGCCAGGAACAAGCTGGCAAGTGAAGGTAGTTCCGGAGACATCAGTGCAGCAGTCCTGGCTGCTGGAGCAGATGACGTTGCAGGTGGCTGGGGTGCATACCTGACCATGAGGGAAACATCCAACGGTGAGCCCACGAGGCCAAAGCAAGAATTGAAACAAACACGATGCTCACACCAAGGATTGAGATGCCGAGCGCGGAGACGCTCGTGCATGCAGCGCCTGCGCAGCACCCTATTGCAGGAGTGCAGGCCTGCGCCAGGCAACTGAGTTGACGAGCTTCGTGGGCGGCGGGGCTGGCTACCGTCGCGCCGACGTAGGTGACAACGACGGCGAGCTTGGCGAGAGTGAAGAACTGCATGTTACTAGAAAACAATGAGAACTTTGCCGACGAAGAGGTCAGTTGGCTTACTTGATTGCGATGGGTGTTGAGAGCGAGTACTGATGCAACTTGCTCCGACTCCTGCTCCTTTTATGCAGTTTTGGGAAGCGGTAACAAGCTGTCCCTCGCCTCCCATACCAGCTAGCCTCAGAAGGCCTGCGGTCATGAGTTGCTATTAGCATGGGGCGGTTCCATTTTCCACGTTAGTTTAATCTTCTTCGACAAGTGCAATATATTCATTCCGTCCCTAGGTCCCCAAGACCGTGCCACTCTTTTTTATTCCTATAGAGACCGACCACTGTTCCTGTTACGTGGAATTGCTGCATTTTCCATTACTTTATCCCGAGTAAATGAATTCAAGACACTGCTCGGATCAGCGAACAAGTTTGATTTGGTCATTGTACGTATCATATTTTGCCTGCCCTCCATTTGGAGTTGGGAGGACAGCAAATCAAGTCTGACAAACTAACTGACTCTCATAGACGAAGTGTACCCAAGACAGATTGGACATGGATTCGGGCATGGTCATGCAATAAACGTTGTGCAGAGTGTGAGCGTTGGAGGCGGAACTGTCAGTTTGGCTCTACGCCCTGACTTACATTCGCATTCCATCATAGAAGCTCTATAGATCGATCCGCTGCGTACACTCGCCAAGCTCGAATTCCACGAATTCGAATTAATGGGGACGCTTGAGGTCTCCTTTGGTGGCGCAACCCTCAAGTACTCCTCAACGACAGGACCGGCGCCCTTCACCATATAGGGACGTCAGCATGACGGACGCGCCAATAGCAGTGTTGCATAGTCTTCTCCCAGTTGAGCAGCTGATTTATGCGGTGACTGTATCTGTCGTAACTTCCTGGCAGCTCATCAATGCGTATTTGACATCGCCGTGCTGCCGGCTCACGCTGTCGTCCTTGTTGTTTTGAATCACCGTCAGCGGTAGAAAAGTGAGTGAGAATCTTGGCGACTCAATGACCACAAGAAATACTGGCTAGCATGTATATTTCTTACTTGTGCATTCACCTTAAACTGTGCTTGGAATTGAAACCTGAGTCCGCTTCGACTGGCAACCACGTCACTAAGCGCACGTGGACTGGCTTATTGGACTATTCTCGTTTTACTCATCTTTATAACACTTCTTGCACGGGGCTGGTGGGATGTATGATTTCCACCGAGTCAGAAAGGCTCGCACATCACATGTGGAGAGAGCAGGGTTCGGCGTGCACGGTTCGGAAGAGTCAGCAGATGGACACGGGGTCTATAGCAGCAAAGACAGTATAGCCCTACTTGCGCCACATAACGGTACGTATAGGATCAGAGCTTGCAGGCAGTACCTTCCGAGCTAGGCCATCAGTCAAAAGGGAAGGGTCTGAAAAGGCTGAGCATCAGACTTTTCAGACGCGTCAGACTCTGCTCGACCAATCACATTGCGCGAAATCCTTTCAGCGCGTCAGACCTTTAGAACCTCGATTTGGGTCGTTCAGACCCTGTATTGATACAACCCTAGCAAGACATTTTGTGCACTTTGTGTATGGGATACAATACATTATTGAATACAGAAGTAAATTACAACCAGTGGACCCAACACTTCACCCCTGCTCAATTGCTATACCTGGATCAAAAACACATTTAAACATTTAGACCTTCAGACCTTTCCCTTTTTCCTGATGTATAGTTTATATGAAGTATCTGGGGCGGGACTGTGACACGACTGTCACTTGATAACGTCAGGAGAAGGCCGTCAAGCGGTACCTTTCGCTCCTCGCAGTTATATTCTTGCAATGCCGAGACTCCAGTCATTAGCTCCTGGCTTTCATAATTCTTACATGTCGGAGGACTCGGAGTGCTGCTACTTCCGACAACACCTTTCCACACTCGAAACCCGCTCATTATTACCGATAAGGCAGCCCTAACCCTAACCTGCCCTCTGTCATAGTTTAGTCAATAGAGCTTCCTCGGTGGAGTATATACCACGAATCCTTATTCTTGGAATATTGAGCTGCTATTCCAAAGCTCAGACGCTGGGGACGGCAAAAGACCCGGTTTGGAGATGATGTCGTCGACATCTTGCCTTTTCTAGCCATAAGCGCTCATTTTGTCGCCTTTCTAGGCAACTTTCGTGGTGCAGTGCTGCCCGCCGTCGTAATTGCGGAGCGGACGCCTTATTCCAAACCAAAGCTTAGTCTAGTCCTAAAATTCGCTGGTATTTCTTCCGCCGAATATGCTCCAATATGCGACCCTCATTCTCTCTACAATTGTCTCTAGTGGAACAGAGCGGGATATCTATCTATAGGCCCCTGTCTCCGTAGAAGGAGCTCTCCACCCAATTGACACCGTTACCAAGCCTTCTTAGGCTTGTGACTGGCACCAGGAAACGCATCTCACCTATGACTCCCTGTTTTGGTTTCCCCTGTCTATGTTGACCTATCCGACCTCCATAGACCTATGGAGGACTATGTTACAGACTGCGCTTCGATTCGGTCGCCTTGACCGTTACACTGTACTGTAGAACGCGTCCGCTGTGGGGGACCGCGTTTTGTACGGGGGGCTCGTCTGACCGACAGCACTGCATCGTGGACAATGTACCCCAATCACTGCAGTCTACTAGATGGTAGAGTGTGGTGGCAGGAGAGCGTGGTGTTACAGCCACTGCACTCCGCTGACACAAGAAGTCACACTCGTCGCTCCGTAAACTTCAGACGTGTGTTACGATTTCACCAATGAGGTTGAATATTATTGTCCTTGAGAGGATTATACACACCGCCGCATAGCCGTCTGTTCTCGTCGTCATTTCATTTGGCACGACCCTTGAGCTCAATGGGCAGCACGAGCGTTTCAGACCTAACCTTAGGCGCCGGCCAGATGCCGCGGGTGGCGCCGTCGGGATGCCATTGCCAAAGTAGGATAACGAGCGCAGCACCTCCATCGCATGCCAGCACTTTCGCTGTCGCAGTAACCATAATTCTTTAGACGACTGCCCGCCACTCGCTGTATATGACGGTTGCACTTCAGGGTGCTTAACGACACGGAAATATCATGTTCAAGTCGGCGGCGACCAAGATCGCGCACAACTCGACGCTGCCGGGGTTGGCAGGGAATAATGAGTTGAGAACGCTGCAAGACTTGATTATAGCGGAGAAGGCGGTTATGCACTCGTACGTATGGTCGAAATAGGTAGCGCTGCAATGACTGATCACAGCTTTACATCCGCCCCCCCGCCGCACCTCCCGGGAATTCTGTTTTTGCTGTCTCATACCACTTTCAATGCTCGGCCAACACGATCCGTTTCACGACTCCCGTTTCGCGGGACTCAATTTGGGGGATTAACAGGCTGGACAGACTGACGAACGACTTTGCAAAGGCAGTAGATGCATTACGGAGCTGGGGTATTGGTGAAGGAGAGGATCTAGGCGTACGTATTATGTCCATGCATCATCCCGCATCCTGACCTGTCGCCTGCCTTGCGGTCACCTCCAAAACCCTTATGCGTCCTATTCCCTTGCATATTCGCTGCCTATCATGCGTCCACCTTCCATTGGCTTCTGTGTTCTTATTAACCTCCATCGACGCCATCACGCCGAATCCGATATATACAGGACATTCTCTCCTCCAGCGCCTCCCTCCTCCTTCACTTCTGCAACACCATCTCACACCTCTCCTCGCACACCCAGACCATCCGCACACACATGAAATCCATCCGCACGCGCGAAGAGGCCCTGCTCGCGCTTCAGCGCCGGCACCGCTCGCTCCAGTCCAAGTGCGAGTCTGCGGACAAGAAGCTCAGCAAGATGAGCCCTGAGAACAAGAACCTGCAGGCGCAGATGTCGCTGATCAACCAGTTACGGGAGGAGATCAGGGAAGTCGAAGGAGAGATCATGGCGGAGGAGGCGGCGCTGGGGGACTACAAACGCGCGCAGGCGAAGGAGTGGATGGGGATCCAGTTTGGCGGGCTCGGGGAGGTTGGAGAGGTTTCTGTGGTGCGTCTGTTACATTTTTTGTTAAATGTGCTGTCGAACGTCTCATCTGAATTGTACTATCGCTATATACCCTGTCTAGCTTATAGCCTACTACGGAAAACTCCTCATCGAATCCATGCCCCTCGAGCGCACCGACCCCGGCCTGCCGCGGGCCATGTACACTGGGCACGAACAAACACGCTCTATAGCTAACGAAGCGGACGAGGCCATCCGGCGCGTCGAGTATACCCCCTTTCCGTCCAACTCTCTTCCTTCTCTGCCTATCTCAAATCATTCAAATGCCGCGGGACCAGCAGATCGCTACAGCACGCAAACGCCCGAGTCGAGCGGTAACGCGCCGAGCACGATATACGCGCCGTCGCCGCTCCCGCCGCCTACGCACCCGAGCGCGCTCACGTCTTCCCCGCCGCCGGGCATGCCCGAGCCGTCGTCGGTAAGGCTGAGCGATCCGGGGTTCATGCCGCCGCCCTCGCACCCCGACACCGCCAACAGTGGCACCACCCAGTCGTCGTCGCGCTTCGCCCCGTCGGGACTGAGCTCGGAGTCGCGCACCGATAATTGGAGCCTGGAGCCGATCCAGACGGGCGGCGGGCTGGGGCTGGGCGACTTGCTCGGCGGCGGCGGGAGGCAGGGGATGGATGAGTTTGGTGTTGGGTCCGGTTCGAGCGCGGGGCAGGCGCAGACTGTTTCGGGCCCGTCCGGGTCGAGCGGGGGCAGTCGCGGAGGGAGGTTCGCGACGTTCCCGGTGAAGGGGCGGAAGAATACGAAGGATGCGGATAGGGATAGGGAGCGGGAGAGGGAGAGGGAGAGGGAGAAGGAGCGAAGGAGCGAGGACGCGCCCAGCGTGGAGGGCCTGCCGGCGTACACGCCCATGGACCTCAACCTCGGGTCGGGGCTGCAGGCGGAGCCGTTGCATCTTACCCATGATGCTGCTGCCAATGCCAGTCGGGATAGTAGAGCGGAGGAGGATGATAACGTCGAGCTAGCGTATATGTCGCCGACGCAGGAGAGCCCGCTGCCGAGCCCCATGCACTCGCGGTTCGGCGCGGTCAGCGAGGGTAACGACGGTGGTGCCGGGGATAGCGGGGAGAGGGGTTTAAGTGTACACAGAGCGGACAGAAGAATTAGGTTCAAGAGCGGGGCGACGGATATCGACGAGGCGATGGAGAGAAGGGAGGAGGCATCGCGCGTGGCGGAGGCTGTGCCTGGTGGGTCTTCCTCTCACTTCCGGTTGATTAACCCTGTGTACTAATCCAGATGCAGAGCCATTACCAAGTCCGCATGAACAAGCTTCGCAACCTCCACCGCCCCCGCCCCCGCCACCGGCGCAAGACCAGCCCCCCGAGCGCATGCCCACCCCGCCGTACCCCTCGCAGCGGGAGCCCACTGACGAGCGGGCCCTAAATGCCGCTGCCGCGCGCGAGATTAGTCGGGAGATGGACGCGCTGCTGTTTTCGCCGCCCGCGCCTGGGCCTGGGCAGTCGAGGGGCACCGGGCCTTCCTCGCCAACTATCGGCAGAGTGCCCGCGCCTAATGAATCAAGAGAAGGTGGGCTCCTGGATGCAAGGCAGGAAACTCAGAGCCAGCGTGCACCGTCTCCACTTGTACCGCCCGCGCCGCCGTTTGCGGCCAATTCGCCGGGTGTGGGGCAGATGAACTACGGGGAGGCTCAGAAGAGGAGCTTGGATCGAGAAAGGAGGGAGAGCAGCCCGCCGGTGTCGCCAAGAGCGGGGCAACCGCTCCCCGCGATACCCCAGGTGCCGCCGCCGCCTACTATCAACCTGCCCAGTCGCTCGGGGTCCCCCGCGCTCTCGAGCACGACCACGACGCCATTCCGCACGCCGCCGGAGTACCCGCGACCGTCGTACACCTCCCTGCCGAAGCCGAACCTCTCGTCGCTCTCGTCGAGCAACCTGACGACAGGCACGGGGGTCGGGTCGGGCCCGAGCTCGCCCCTCCTACCGCCTGCGCCGGGGACGAAGACGATCTCTGCGAGTGCGTTCAGAAGGCAGATGCGCAGCCCCAGCGCCGGGAGCACGGGTAGTGCGGGGATGGCAGATACGTCGCCGCTGAACTTCGCGAAGCGCTCGTTGCCGAGCTCGCCATACCCGCCCAGGGGACGCGCGGGCAGTGCGAGTTCGGGCGCGGACCGGGATAAGGCAGTCCCGGTGCCGCAGAAGGAGGGCGAGGAGGGGTTGGGGGGTGGGGAGGATTTGGACGATCAGTTTGATTATATCTCGGCGTATGTCAATGAGGGGCCCGATGAGGGGCAGGAGAAGCAGCAGGGGAGGAACGGGTATGGACAAGGGAGGTTTGCGACTAACTTGGAAGAGGGAGAGCTGAGGTAATTATTTGGAGGTGTATGCTTAACTTCCGTGTTCGTTGTAACGGAGTTGTAGTACCGGTGTGGTCGATATTTATTCGCCGTCTTGACCGTTAATGTACTCGATCATGTTTCACCCGATATACATCCCTGCTTGTATTGGTACGAATACTCGTCTGCGGCGCTTTGCAGGTCACCGGAAGTCAATATCAACTTACGGAGCCACGCTAATGGATCATCGAGCTCGACTTCCGCCTTGGGGCAGGGGCCTCATGTCCTGCTGTTCGAGCGCGTATCGGCGGTGAAATGACGGCAAGGTCTGCGTCGTCATTACTCCTTTCAAACGCACGTTCGTCCAGGCATCCACCAAGACATTATATCACTCAGAAGCTGTATAGGTTAGGACAGAATAGGAGACGGAAGGACGGAACCTGATAGGATAACTTGCATCCGAAACGCGGTGGCGCAGTACTGAGAAGAGCAGACGAATTGAGTGGTGGTAGCGATGGTCTAAGGAAGTCGAGGCGGAAGTACACGACTGCGTGAGTGGATATGCCCGATCGGCCAGCTCCTTAGGCGTTGAACGACACGGCAGCAGATAAAATGGTAGGCAGAGATAGGACTGCTACTCTGGAATAGACCACAGATCTTCCTTTGGTCATTGGTGGCTCTGGAGGCTAGCCCATGGGTTGGCCCTAAGAATGAGAACTCAGGTTCAAGCAAACGCTCACATTCCTCGGTCAAAAGCCTTTCAGGGTAGATCATTTACCGACATATGTAGCGCGCGGGATTAGAGAACATGTGCGAATCAGGAAGGGGTGAAAGTAACGTGACCTGTGGTCACACCAAGCGCGTCGGACGCTTCAGCCACATCTCTTACCTTTCATAACCACCATCTTTTGGGACAGGCACTACTCGACTCATGGAAGGACCGAAACTCGCGTACAAAGTGGACCCGGACCTTACCTCGGTCATCGAAGAAAAGCAAGATGAAACAATGCCGCCGGGCAAGACAGACACACGGGTCGGTGGCACGGTGAATGGTTCGGCCAGTGGCAAGAATCGAGGGGGCGAAAGGTTGTCGGACTTGAACGCTCGTATCGATGCTCTGAGTTTACACGATGGCGGCAGGATTGTGTCGTCTGAGAAGGTATGTTGTCCCTTGTACCATGGGCAAGTCGACCTGAACCAAGCACCTTTGGACGAATAGGAGGAAAAGCAGTCGCTCACGACTGCGAACGACATACCCGTCCTCCTAGGCGGATGGAAACTAGAAAGTGAGGCGGAGTACGCCAAGCGCATCGGCAGGGATGTGAAAGAGGTAAAAGAGGAGATGCGCCGGAATTTCGAGGAGCTCCTCGCTGTAAGGAAGTCTCTGCATCATAAGATGTGCAGGTCACTGAAAATAGGTTATTGAATTGTTCCCAAGACACAAGCCAAAAACCTACCTGGCGGTTATCAGCCATTCAACGTCTTCCGACCCCCTTCTCCCGTCAGAACCTCCCAGGACCCGCAGGTGGAAACAACCACAGCGGAAGAGAAACTGGAGCAGAATACCTCGTTGCCTGACGTGAACGAGAATGAAGTCAGAGACGACTCCACATCTCTCGACTCGGACGAGGACACAGAGTTCGAGCATTATGAGAACATCTTGCCACATGAAAGCCGTGGATGGGTCTCCAGGCGCGGAAGGGCCCAAAAGCCAAAATTATCAGCTCACAATAGACACGCGATCTCGCCGCTGGCCACACCGGATTCTGGCTTCCTCGCAGACCGTTCGGTCTCCGGTGGATGGGCTGCGATGAGCGATATGGAGTCAGACGAGACCCTTCCGAGTCTGACGGCATACATAAGAATACTGGAATCTTGCGAGTCGCGCAGACGGCGAGGGTAGCTGGAGGGTATCGGAGGGCCTGAATAATATATACAGCGATGTTTGTCCTTCGAGATGTTCCTCTGACCTGTATTGCTGAAGACTATCCTACCTTTGCGGAAAACGTAGATTGTCTTCACGTACATATAACAGTCGAGAGCGTTCGACTAGACTGAGAAAGACCTCCGAGCAACATTACGAGAGTCCACAAATCTGCACAAAAGCGAGTCGAAGTCGTCGTCGACTGGACCGGCTTTTGCCGAGAGCGCTACATCGTCGACGAGCGTCGACGTCGATAATCACAGCGACTATGAGCGACGACCTGCCCCAAATTTGCCCCACTCGGCCTGCAAGGAGCTCTACTTCTAAAGCAGTTCCTCATGAAGGCTGTTGCAGACGGTTCAACCATGCTGTATGCATCAAGTACCGCCGTACTTATTTCTGTTGCGGACTCGAGAGCGACACTGTTGACATCGACATCGACATCTGACCAGCGATCCATGCTTCGAGGTGTTACGGGATGAGACGAAGGTATCTTTACTTTCGCAGTGATATTATGTCTGTACGTTTGGTAGTATTGGCAGACCGTCTCGAGTGGGTCCAGCGTCTCCAGCGCCCAGAACTGGGCTTCCAACGCTGCCCTCCATCTACTATCCATCATGAGGCCGGTTCTTTGCTATGCTTTTACGGGGATGTTAGCTTTCGTCCGACGAAGGTCCAACGCGTACGTACGGCAGCGCTTGGGATAGAATGGCCACACGGCGCCCTTTCGTGCTTGACCCGGTGAGACGCTTGGTACGTCCCACATCTTGCCTGGTTTGACTGTGCTGCAACACCCCCATGATTGTGCGATTTCGGTCTGTGATCCCATTGTTCTCTTCTTCCGACGAGCCAGCTGCGGCATCGGAGTAGGGGCTGTTCGCTACAGTCCTATTTCCCATATCTCGCGCAGGTGAAACTCGCATATTCCTCTTAGATATTGAAATATTCATGCTTGCAATCTCAAGCACAGTATCACGAACATTCCGTCAAGGTCCTAACTTTTACATTTGCTTTTTTTACTTCTCGTCCGATTCTCTACCGTAGGCCTCGGTATCAGACATCAACACGGATGTAGACATTGTAGTGGCAAACAGGAGCTCACCATGCACGTACACGTGACTATGCCACATTCTTGATTCGCGATTTGGAAAGTGTAGCTGAGCAAGATGGAGTTTAGTTCTCAGTGACTGGTTTCCCACTACGATTTGATCCACTCATGACATCTAGCGTCGCTGATCCGTCTTTTCATATCGATAGTCTCGTCCCGGCTGTAGATGCTCGCGAGGTCTTGCTGTCGGGTTTCCGCCGCATCGAAACTGTAAGCCGCGCAAACAGTCATCTAGCATTTCGTTTTGTTAGGTCTGTCCTATGATTTATCTTATCTACAACTCTCTGGCGAGCGCGACTGAGTTGTTCCATTGGTGGATATCTGAGCGTATTCCCTCGAGCTGCCTGCTGGTATGCCAGTCATGGAATTCTACGACATTGAATCTCTTCCCTCCACGCTGTTCGCAAAACGCCACATGATCCAGTGGACGGTTGGAGGTATGTCCCAATACCTAACCAAAGTCCAAGGCATGCCTAAGCACATCGCCCAGGCCCTTGAAAAGCTGACCCGAGGCTTCATCTGGGAAGATGCAGCCCACCCTCCCATTGCCCTGGCCCATCTCTACAAACCCCGACGCCAGGGCGGTATCGACCTCCTGGACATAAATGCCAGGAACGAGGCCATTGAACTCACCTGGCTACGTGACTATCTCGACATCTCCCCAACTCGCCCGGCCTGGGCATTTGTCCTAGATTGCCTAATAAACCAATTAGCGCCTGAAGGGATTGCATCCGAGGCCCTCATGAATTCATTCCTGCAAAAATGGGACCCTCCCACACAAGGCCCCCGTGCTAATACCCTACCCCCATATACACTCACAATGCTGAAAACAGCTCGTAAGTATGGTGTAGCGTTTGCACCTGCAAAGCTCTCACAGGACCTTAAAACCCAACTCCCCGCCTTCTATCACCTCGGTGCAGCACCCCGTGCGTATGTTGCGCCCCGCATTGAATGCCTCATCCACAACCACCTGTCAAACGCCAAGCAAGTCAAACACCTACTCGTTCTCTCGGCCCGCCTCCGCGACAATCCAGGGCGGGGACGCCACAACCCCACGAAACGCTGCGCGTGTCCCGCTTGCGCGCTGGACCGGCGACATGGTTGCACCAACCCACACCGCTGCGCAAAAACTGCCGCTGCCATACTTCAATCTTTCTCAGACCTGACCAACATGTCAAATCGCCCTCACCCAGACAACTTAACTCTCACCCATCGCCGCCTGGAGAAAAACAAACAAGCCCATGCCGAACGGGGCACCATCACCTTTGACCCCACGCTAACGGCAAAGAACAGTCTGGCGGAATGCTTCCGGGTGTTCCTAGACCCAAAGACTGTATCCACCTCACCTGCATACCGTCTACGCACCCCTGCCACCGGCCTCAACCTCCCCCATCAACATATAACAGTCTACACCGATGGCTCATGCCTACACAATGGTAAGGCTAATGCACGCGCCGGAAGCGGGATCTACGTACGCCCCCATAGTCGCTATAACCGCGCAATTAGGGTACCAGGCCCAGACCAAAGTAACCAAGCCGGAGAACTTACTGCTATACTAGTTGCTCTACAAACAATCCCCACCTTCCGCCCAATAACCTTCATCACTGATTCGATGTACGTCATAGAAGGCTTGACTCGCCACCTAGGTACCTGGGAAGACCAAGGATGGATAAACATCGAAAATAGCACCCTCTTCCGTGCAACAGCATACCACTTACGAATTCGATCTGCTACCACAGCGTTCCAATGGGTAAAGGGCCATAACGGTGACCCAGGCAATGAAGCCGCTGATGCCCTAGCGAGGGAAGGAGCCGAAAAAGACCAGCCTGACGAGATAGACCTCACCGTCCCGGCAAACTTTGCCCTCCCCGGTGTGAAACTATCTGCACTCACCCAGCACCTCGCCTATGAAGCTATCCGAGCACGGAAAGTCGCCACCACTCAACCGCGCAAACATGCAACCTACAATATTTCCCGGATGCAAGATGGACTCCACGATGTAACGCACTCACTGGAACCAGCACCCCAGTTGTGGAACTCTTGCCGCAACCTAAACCTGCGACCACTAGTCAGACAATTTCTCTACAAGGCCATTCAAAGAGCGCACAAGATCGGGGACTACTGGCTCCCCATCGCGGGCTACGAAACCCGTGCCATATGCCCTACCTGTGAGGACTGCTCCGACAACCTAGATCACATACTGCTTGAATGTCTAACACCAGCCCGAG